TGTTTTACAAAAACACCCTTAGTAATTTTATATGGTAAATTTCCATCCACGTCCTTACCTGTAAATAGGCTTAACTTCAACAACACCCCTCTAATTCTTAAATTTTTTACTTCACTCGCTTTTAATTCTATTATATTAACCTTCAAATTCATCAATTTAATTTAATTTTTTCAAATTAATGTCCTTTCTTTAATTTAAACTAAATTAACATTCGATCTCATCAAATCAACATAAAAATGATATTTAATCTAATCAAATTAATATTATTTCTTTAATTTAATTCTAAATTATTATTTAATTTTATCAAATCTACACCAAATTGACATTTAATTTTATCAAATTAAAATTTAATCATATTAAATAGAATACTAAATTTCATTAATTTACATTTAACCTCATCAAATTAATATCATTTTTTTAATTTAATATCAAATTAACCATCAATTTCATCAAAGTAGCATTAAGATTTATTGAAATATATTAAATTTGATACATGAAAGGTGATGCATTAAGAGTGGTTATGTGATGTTGCAAAGGACAAACGATAGAGAGTTGAAAGTGGGTGGTACTTTGACATTGACCTTATTAATTATAATTTTTATTGTAGAGAAGTATTTTTATTAAAATTATATATATATATATATATATATATATTATATATATATATATCATAATATCAAAAATTTCATACAATGTTTTAAAATAATAAAATTCATTGAGATCAATTAAAATGACTATAATTAACCTTTATTTTTTGGTAAAATATTAAAATTAAATTTTTATTTTATTTTATTTGTATGCATTTTTTACCTTATTATGTTCAATGATTTTATTTTGTATAAAAAATAATTTCATTAGATATAAATATATTATCCTACTTATCAAAAATAAATAAAAAACTAAACTTTATAAAATGCCGACCCAAGACACTTTAATCTATTAACATAACATAAGGTAATTTTTGTATTTTTAAAAAATAAGTATTCAAATTGTGCACTTTATTTATTGCCAGAGAGACGAAATTTGCTGTTAAAGGGTGTCCATAATTTAACAGTATAAACTAGAAAGGGGTTCATGAAGTTACAAATTGAGAGAAAGTGTCATTAAATTTAGACCTAATTAAAGAAAATGTAGATGAAATTTTTCCTAATATTTTAGAGAAGTTGAAGAATCAATCTAAATATTAAAAATCAACCCAAACACCTTAAAGAATTATAAAATAATCCATAACAATTGTATTTGTGGTATTATACCCAAAAAAAAAAAAAAACTTTGATACTTGCTTATATATACGCAGTTCTATGAAATTTATTGCAGTAGATGGCACAAAGATTTTCTTTCTAAAACCGAAGACACTATTTTCCATTCTCCCTTTACCCACATGCATAAAACAGTTGCCAAACACAAATATATACACGTGCTTATATATACGTAGTCTACGACTTTGCCTTTACGCCACATGCACGTAAACCCTTTCACCAATCACCCACCGTCAATCTCCAATCAATCGTTCAATATTTAACCTCCCCTACCTACAGCGGTGTAGTCGTCTGTCTCTCTCCTCGTCGCGTATAAACGAGGCCGTTTCTAAAAATCTCCACCTTTTTCGGCTCTGTAATCTTTTTTCTCTTCAACGCTGCATCGAATTGTTCCGAGTTTGTTGCTATATTTTCGTATCGAAGCCCTCTTCTCACACCATCTCTGGCCGTTTCATTGCACAGATAATGTACACGTGAATTTGAAGATATTCGATTTTCGATTCACGAACTGTAAGTTTTACCACACCAAACTCTACTAATTCTCAGCAATTATTGCTTACGTCTTTAATAAACATGAATTTAATATATCTCTGAAATTTTGTGTAGTTAAATATTGGAATTTACTTGTTTGTTGTTATTTAATTAGTCTGAGTAATTAATTTTATGTTTCTTGATCGAGTTTGAGCCTAACCCACTATTGGTCTTGATGCATGAATATGCAGGATGTGTGTAATTTAATTGAAATTACTTGAATCTACTTGTTGGAACTTTTTTTTTTTGTATATTTGTGATAAATACTATAGTTTATTGATTTCTATGGTTTGATTTGTTTATTGTTGTTTTTGGTTTATGGTGAATTAGGTTTTTTTTTTGAGATAGTTACTGGGAATAACGAAGATATGCAGTCCAATGTGAATTTACGAACAAACCTAGATGGGGATATGATGAGAGGATCGTATTCAAACGGCAGTTTAGAGAACAGTTTAGAGAGTGAGCTTCAAACATTGCTGCAGGAGCAGCGTAATCGGAGTGTTATTAATGAGAGGGAGAGGGATTTGAACATATATCGGAGTGGCAGTGCTCCGCCAACTGTGGAGGGGTCGTTGAGTGCCGTGGGAAGTCTGTTTGGGAACTCAAATTTTGCACAAATTAATAGTACTAGTATTGCCAATGGAATTTTGACAGAGGAAGAAATTCGGTCACACCCTGCGTATTTATCATATTATTATTCACATGATAATATAAATCCGAGATTACCCCCACCAATGTTGTCAAAAGAGAATTGGCGAGTTGCCCAAAGGTTTCAAACAGGAGGGGCTTCGTTTGGTGGTATCGGAGACTGGAGGCAAAATAATTCGGTTGATGATGGTGGCAGTTCTTCGTTGTTCTCAATGCAGCCTGGATTGTCTGTTCAGAAAGCTGAAGATGAGTTGAGGGAGTTGAGGAAAGCTACTATGAGGAATCTCTCAGTGAAAAACTCTGCTGAATTGCTGGACAGAGGCTCTGATGGTTTTATTGGGACATCAGCTGCTGGAATGGGTGCGAGGAAGAAAAGTTTTGCAGATATTCTTCAGGTAGCAGTCTACCCCCTAAACAGAATTATGTATTTCGGGCATAATTTAAAATTTCATTGTATAGATTGCTTCTGCATTATCTCATGTGCCTATGAAAAGTATTCCAGATCTGGAGCTCTCTTATCCTTGCCAAAATACCTCGGCACCTAATTGCTTATTGTTATTACTATGATTACAGTCAAAGTGAATGATCTTGGTGATTTAAAATTTTCCTTTTTCAAGTTTTTATTTAGTTCTATTTTACTTTGTTTAATTTTATCCTTAAGACAATGCCTGGGTGTTGATATGGTTTTTGTTATTACTATGTAGATCAGTAGGTGGGCTGTGTATGTAGTACCCTTGTAAGACATTACACATGGGTATGATTTCAATATTGTTTTCAATGATCAATAAGCAGGTCAAGTGGTGTAAATATAGTATATATTTGGACATGAAGATATCATCTAACTGTTGTCTTCTCTTGAATAATTGCTCTAAAACAAGTGGAGTGCTGTGTTGAACATTCTACGTTTTCTTGAAAACTCCACTTACCCCTTATAAATGGAGAGAAGAATATTAAACAAATAGAAAGCTGGCCATGCTTCGGTCTACTTGGCTTTGGCAGGATCTTAGTTTGAAAGTGCACACGACTTTGTTCTCTTGCTATGTTTCAATGGCATGGCTTCTATCCTCTATGCCACTTTATAGATGCAATATTGCACACCTTTAAGGACAGTGATTTGTTTGAACGTGCATATCCCCATACTAGATGCAACTTTGAGCTCCTATGGACATGTTGACACGTTGCTGATTGATATGTGCATGTTTTGCAGGAAGGGCTTAACCAACCTGCTTCCCTATCAGATTTTCTCTCACATCCTGCAAGGCGTAACTCATTTGGTGATATTGTGGATACATCAGGCATTTCTAATTCACATGCTGCAGATATTTGCTATGGAGCTGAATCCACTGAGGTCTTGCATCCGAGGGTAGCTGTCCCTGGTTTGTCTAGAGTTGAACACCTTAGTTCATCTGGTTCTCATTTGTTTGCACTTTCTGTGGGTTCATCTCTGTCAAGAAGTAGAACCCCTGAGCCTCAACTGGTTGGGAGGTCCACCAGTCCTAGTCTTCCACCTGTGGGTAGCAGAGTTTTCCCTGTCGAGAAGAACGATTTTGTTGGCTCTAATGCTATAAGGGGTCTTTCTTCTAGCATGACCGAGCTGGCTGATGTTGCAGCTTCTTTATCTGGCTTAAGCCTTTCAAAAAATCATCTCTATGATGAAGATGGTCTTATGCAGTCTCACCTTCAAATGGGACTTGACAAGCAATCTAATCATTTAGTTGCTCTGTCAAATGGTCATAGGGAGAGCCTGCCACAGCAATTCCTTGACAGGTCCAGAGCTGAAAATTTGGCTATTGCTCTCAACTATACTGATTTATCAAGGGAGAATGGGGTTGTCACAGATTCACATGTTTCTAAGTTTGGTTTTGATAGGAATGTTCACTTCCCTAGAAGAACATCTTCTTCGGCTGACCTTCGCTCAAAAATGAGTTCTTCTGGATTTGCAAGTTTAGATGGTTCTAATGTTCATTATCAAGCCGATAATTTTCCAGGTGTGGACCTATCTGGCCATGCGCCTACGAGATATTCTGCTAGTCAGAATCTTAACACAGCCATTAATAATCATCTTGGTACGGCTTATTGTTCCTTTTGATGACTTTTGCAGTATTTTTCTCAATCATTGAACAACCGTTTTGTATTCTAATGTTTATATTTTTCCAGGTTCAGCTTTGACAAGTGCTGGAAATGAGCAAAGTTCGAGAAGTAACCAGGCAGGGTCTGATCTTTATTCATCAGTTATGGATCCTCGATATATCCGCTATTCCCAGAAAATGTCTAATTATGCAACACATCCTGCCTATGGTCAGGGAGATTTACAGGGTTTCCAGAGAGCATACCTTGAGGCAATGCTTGCTCGACAGAAATTACAGTATGGTAAATCTGGCAGATTAGATCATGGGTATCATAGGAATCCAGGCTTTGATGTTGGTATGCCATATCAGGGGAACTCAGTGCCATATCCCAATGAGCGAGTCTCTCATTTTACTTCCACGTTGGGAAGTTCAATGGGAGGATCTTCCGGACCGTGGCATTCAGAAACTGGAATTAACATGGAAGGAAGATTTGCATCGTCATTATTAGAAGAGCTGAAGAACAATAAAACTATGTCTTTAGAACTTTCTGACATTGTTGATCATGTGGTGGAATTTAGGTATGCACATAATGCTGTTTTATTGTTTAATCCATGTATGCAACCCCAATTGCATTCTAAGTTGTGTTTCCTATTCTCAAATGTAGTACGGATCAGTATGGGAGTCGCTTTATTCAACAGAAACTGGAAACTGCCACAGAGGAAGAAAAGATGATGATATTCCCAGAAATCATTCCTCATGCTCTTAGTTTGATGACCGACGTTTTTGGGAATTATGTTATACAGAAAGTATAAGCCTCATTAACTCTACAAAAAATGTGCTATTAATTTTTTTTGAATGTACTACTTAAGTAATTATGCTTGAATATGCAGTTTTTTGAGCATGGCACAGAAAGTCAAAGAAAGGAGCTGGCCAGCCAACTTATTGGTCATGTTTTGCCTCTCAGTCTTCAAATGTATGGTTGCCGAGTAATTCAGAAGGTGCATTATTAAGCTTTATTTTTTGATTTAAGTTTTGTTTCTGCTTCAATACTAGATGTTACTTTCTGTTCTTAGGAGCTTATCATATATATGCATTCTTCTATTTTGAACTGGTGGACAACAAAATGATGTATGAACTAACGTCAATTATTTGTGGTCTTCACTCTATTCGCTAATCAAATGAGGATACACAACAATCAAGGTGGTTACCCTTGTTACTTTTGCAGTCAGTTTCCCCAAGTCATTCTTCTTCTCTTCCTCCTTATAAATCTCATTCTTCTCCTTTTACTACACGGGGACATCCAAAAATTCAACTTTCTGTATGAAAGATTTAAAAGTTTGGTCCCAATATCTGAAATCCGTAGAATACTAGTCCACTAATTCGCAATGCACTTTTCACTGACAGAATCTGCCCCTAAATGAGAGGGGATATATATATATATATATATATATTGCAGCCCCATACACTTGGTAACGTCCTCATGACAGCATGAGTTTTTTGTGCAACATCCTAGATGCACATCAACCGATACCTATTGGTTGTCCTTGTAGTCTTGAGTCCCCCTTGGTATCAAAAGGTGGTTGTGGTGATCATCTTTAATTTGTACCGTCTCTTTTTTCCACTATTAGGAATGGGATTGGCTATTCTAGAAGGCCTTGGGGTAATATTTGGTTTAGAGATTCATGATTTTGTTAGATGGATGGTGCTTGGAAAACTAGAGGGTTTAGGTCGTTCCTTCTTCTGGGTCCTGTTGCTGTGTTGCATTGATGCTTGAATTCTTAAATTTGTTGCCCTACATCTGGTAATGAGAGGACAGAATATTGGAAAAATCCTTGGTCTGCCCTACAATGCTAAGCTAGGTGGCTTTTGAGTGACATTTTTGCTAATGTTAAAACAAAGTCCCTAAATCTACCTCCGTAATTAAACAGTAGTTGCATGTTGTGTCGCTTGACAAACTAATCTAATCTTCGAGGAGCGTAACAGGTATACCATGTACCTTTCCATGAAGAAGTTTCTTGACCTAAAACATCTATTAATTATAGGCAACCAGTATTGTTTCTCTATATTCCGTTGCCACTGTCCCCATAGGTATTGATAGTTGCCACATTTTTTTCCCGCTGCTCAATTGCTTGGCAATAGTATAACTATATGACACTATATTAATACACTTGGCTTCTTGAGGTTTTAGAAATTATTTTATGTTTGGTCAAAGTTTTAGTGAACCCCAATATTTGACTTGACATTAGTCAATTGATCAATTTCTATTGATGTCCATTTTTGTAAATCATTTTCTCCCGTGCAAGTTTGTCAAAACTTGTATCGGAAGTCGTATCATTTTTGAAAAATATAGTATCGTGTATCATAAGATGCCTGCTATTTTATAAAAGATATTAAAAAACATATATACCTATGACAAAATGTCATAATAACATTTCATTGGACCACAAATTTCTCACATAAAAACAATTTAAAGAGACTAGAATGACCAAAATAAAAAAATTAACAATCTAAGTATTGAAGTTTCTAACATAATTCGTCAATATCAAAATTTAGAGAGTTCTAGTTCTAACTGCTAAAGTAGTAGCCAAAGGAGAACCCTTTGAACGATCAAATTATTTGCTCCACCAATGGAATGAATAAAAAAGAAGACTATTATTTCTTAAAAACTATAGATGATGAAACGACATCATTTTATTACTTAGTGTTTAAAAAAATTATTTCCAAGTGAAAAGACGTCATTTTCTGGTTAAAATTTAAAGGAAATTTTTTTGATTTGTTTTGTATCGTCTCGTACATATCGTCTAGTATATCAGGCGTATCGTATCGTGTATCCCATGATAAGATGCATACCAATATCGTTTTCTTCATACATACGATACTAACAAGATAGCTCCTATGTTCTTGAAAACATAATAGAAATTACGAAATAAATAAAAATATAATGGCTATATGTATTTTATAATATACTAAGACACGGTGGCAGTTTAGGGGTTTTTTTTTTTTTGGGGGGGGGGGGAGAACGGGTTGTGGTTTGAAGAATGGGTAGGAATGTTCCGGGTGGGGTTTTGTGGTAGTGTGGTATGGGTGAGGGTAGGGGTTGGGGGATCGATTATGTGTTGTTTGGCAGAAGAGGGGCTAGGGAGTGTTTATGGATTGGTAAATGGTGGGCTCTAGCAAGATGGTATTGTTTTATCTTCAGGTTCAAACTAGTGTTCAAGTTTTGGCAGTTGGGTATGGCCAAGGGGTAACGTGGTCATTTCATTTTTTCATGAACTTTTTTTATGATTGTTGTTGACCAATTAAGGCTTATTTCAATTTTTTAAACCTCAAGAGGTGGACTGATAAGGCAAAGCTAAGGGGTGGCTTGTGTAATTGTCCCATAAAAATATTAACCACACCTTTCAACTCCACTCTATGAAATTGTGCACTTGTGTTCTAAGACCTTTCTTATGCTTCATGAAACTCTTTCTGCTATTTCTTTAACCCCCCCCCCCCCCCTCCCCCCCAAAAAAAAAAACCCCACCCCACCCCAAAAGAGGCATGGAAAGAGTGACAATGCGTAGTGGTGATGGGAACATCTAGAGGACAAGGATACCTACTTGTTTACTCCATAACTTCTAGTGCTCTCCAAGGAGATGATGACAAATGGGATGACACGATGATTATATTTCAATTAGGGACTCTTTTGAATTAATATTGTTTATACTTTAATTGATCACAGGCCTTGGAGGTAGTTGATGTGGATCAGCAGACACAAATGGTAGCAGAGCTTGATGGCTCAATCATGAAATGTGTTCACGATCAGAATGGTAACCATGTTATCCAGAAGTGTATAGAGTGTGTTCCTCAAGATCAAAACCAATTCATAGTATCAGCCTTCTTTGGGAAAGTTGTGGCTCTTTCCACCCATCCATATGGTTGCCGGGTCATTCAGGTCAAAATTTATTTATTTGTCTCATGTTTTTGTTGAGTAGTATGTCTTATCAATTGTGTAACATCGTTTGATGTCGCAGAGGGTTTTGGAGCATTGTGATGATCCAACTACACAACAAATTATCATGGATGAAATTATGAACTCTGTGTGTGCTCTTGCACAAGATCAATATGGGAATTATGTCATTCAGGTACTCATTGTTTGCATCTGATTAAACATGCACGTCTATCATATGAATCATGGCAGGGCAGTGAGGAGGGAGATGATGTTTACTGGTTCTGACCTCATAGACTTTGTAAACTTTCCCTGTTGATGATGGGATTCACCTTTATTTGTTGACTTGAAGTCTTACACATGTTGTGTTTGAATGTGTGCCCTTAATGTAGAAGAAACATGGAGAGTGAGGTTGCAGCTTTATATTTGAAACTTTGACATTCTAATCACAAATTAGCACTTAAATTTAAGAGTGCTTATGCAGAAAACTTTCGGATACCTTTTGACCATTTTGAATGTAGGAGGCAAAATTGGAGAGCAAAGAATCTGTTTTCTCAATCGATAATATATTTCAAACTTTAACACTCTAATTACAAAATGCCACTTATTAAAGAGTGCTCATGCCAAAAACTTTTGGATACCCTCTGATCATTTTGCATGTAGGAGACGATATTGGAGAGCAAAGAATTTGTTTTCTCAATAAATAATATAGATTTGCTTTTCCAAAATGATGGAACTTGATATTTGATATGGAGTGGTCCATACTGTAGTGATTCCACCATTTGATTTCTTTTTAAATGGAAATTGATAAATAATGATGTGTCCTTGAAAACTGAAGGAGATTTATCACCCCATACACCATCGAATACATATTATTGGCTGATTAGTGAGCGCATTATATCAATTGTTCTGTTGCCTCTTTATGCTATTTCCATTTTGCGTAATTTGCCTAGGGAGCATGTTAGTTATTAGTTGTTCTCCTTTCACCTGTATTTCACCTATAAGTGATGCTTTTGATCTCATTTTACCCTTCAATTTGGCTTTGAAATGCGAAAGAAGAAATAAAAAAGTAGGAAATGAAAGTGTTCATGAACCACTAGAGTTCGTATCACGGCTCCACTTGAATATGAGATGGGAAAACCTATTCAAGCAGACTTAGTCGTGTTCACCAGAATCAATACATGCATGATTAGGTTGGTGTGATTTTAAATGGATGGTGCTAAAAGGACAAGAGAATGGCCTCCAGAACCCTAGCTGCTGGGGGAATGAAAAAGGATTTAAGGCCTGTGATTCTAGGAGGGGATGTGGCTCTAGATCTAAGGATTAAAAAAGGATTGTGTTGCCATACCCAACTAATTTAACTCTTAATTTGAGTTGCACGTCTTATCCTCTAATATATCTCCAAGGCTGAATGAAGCTGACTTAATGGGTATTTACCATTAGTAAAATACTTTGACGGAATATATGTTTAAACTTTCCAATTTTGCATATGTCCATTACATTCTTGCAGACTCTGTTTTTGTTTTGTTTTGTTTAATAGATATATCTCTATCATTCTGATTACATATATAGTTGTGTGCTGCACTGATGTTGGTAATTTTTTCTTGGGTTAGCATGTCCTACAACATGGTAAACCACACGAGCGATCTGCTATCATTAGCAAGCTTGCAGGACAAATAGTAAAGATGAGTCAGCAGAAGTTTGCTTCTAATGTTGTTGAAAAGTGCTTAACTTTTGGTGGTCCAGAAGAATGTCAGCTTCTAGTGAATGAGATGCTTGGTTCCACGGATGAAAATGAACCCTTACAGGTATGTGAATCTCTCGCCCTCCTACTAATTTATTATATTGGTGTTGGATGTGTGAGATCGTAATACTCTATCCCCTCAAAGGAGGTTACTAAATATTGAGAGAGAAAACGAAGTTATTTGCATTCTACTGTACGTGCAAAGCAATACTGGGTCTAACAGACGACCATCTATCTAAAGCGTTTCTGTCTGCATGGCCTTCGGGTGGTCTTTTTGCTGGCTAGTCTAATCTCATTTCTGCCCAGTACCTAAACCTATTTTTCAGGTCATCGACATTGCAACTAAGAAGTGTTGACAGTCAGGTGGACACTGAGATCAAGTTTTTTTTTTCTTTTTCTTTGTTGGGCTTGTGAGTTTGCATGCTCTTCTGGATAGGATTCACTACCTTAGTCTGGTTGCCAATTTTGGTCTGACAGAAAATGAGGTGCTGCCACCTGATAAGAGTAGAGGGTAAATGCAAATGAAGAGTCTTCTACAGTCGTATAGCTGTTCACCAATTCAGGGGGGATTGGTAAATTTTTCACATTTGCACCACCCCTGGCAAATGTTTCTATTGTAAGCCCAGCATTGGTGCCATGTCCAATTCCTAACATCATGGTTAGTAAACAGTGGGCATGCCAGAAAATGGTGTGGAAGCTGTTTTGGCACTTTTTTTATTTTCTCGTTTAAAATTGTAGAAGTTTACAACTAGCTTTTAATTTGCACTCTGCACAGCATTGGGTTTTGAACTTGACATCGCAGTCCTATCTGACTTGTTTTATCTCGTATTTAGTACTTGAGTTACTATTTTTTGCTTACCAATACTGAGCATACCTATTAACAATACTAACATCTGCATTAAAAAAAAAAAGAAAAAGAATTTTGGACCATCAGATGGGCAAACAAACTGAATTATTGAAAGATTTCAAGAATAAATTAGATTATTCTGGCAATCAATATAGCAAACTAGGCTTGTCAGAAGGGGGTGGCATAAAAACTCGATGTAATACACCACAGACAGAAGCTAAGCCCTCTTGGCATGGGCTTGCCTTCAGAGTCCAGAAGGCTTGTTAGTCACCATCATGGAATTCCACATAAAATTCATTGCAAGATTTGATCTTTCTCTTCCTTTGGTTATTTGCTAAGATGTGTAAATATATTTCCACTATCCAAAGGACTTGATTAGGGTAAAATGCCAGAAACTGCAAATTAATTGAGGCAAATGGTGGATTATGATATTATTTTGAAGTTAGCATGGTAGATTGATCAGTGCTTTTATAATTGCTAATCATCTCTTTCTCTCTCTCGATTATTAGGGCAAAGCACGGAAACTTAATACTATGGATAGTTTAGTCTATTTGGCAACATCAGAAAGTAGTAGAGCACCTTTCTTTGGCATGGCCTACCTCTAGAAGGTTTCTTTACCCACTGTGCAGCAGATTCCCTTAAGCCCTTATAAAAAGTGATCAGACTAAAGTTTAATGCATGATTTTGATTTCTTCTATGGCAATTATCTTTTGAATGTTGTCTGTCTCTCGACTATAATTGATCAACAGTTTCACCTCTCTCTCTCTCGACCCTCTTGTCTATGGTACTGGTACTGTTAATTTAATAAAACATCAAGTTTGTTGAAAGGTATGCCATCGAGGCGTTCCCACAAAAATATTTGGATTTGGGTGAACTTTGCCTCTCCTCTCTCTTTAAACATATAAAATTGAAATGTAAGGAAGTTTTGAACTTTCAGAATATTAGCAAATGCATTTGGTGATTTTTTCTGTTTCTTTCTCTTACAATCTGTTGAACTGCTGAACACAATTAGGATATAGCCTCCCACACTGCCTTTTTGTTGTCTTAAAGTTTTTAGAGTACAATATGTGTGTGTGTGTAATGGAGCTTTGAGAAGTTACCAAATTTTTAGCAGTTGAGAAAGGAATGGTTCTGCCATATAAACCTTTGGAACAAGTCAGAAATTTGCACGCTGAGTAGTCATACTGACCCACAAAATACAAGGGGCAATTAGTTTAAGCTAGCCATGTTAAGTTATTGAAATTCATGTTTATGAAGCTAAATTTAAACTAAATCTTGGTAAGATGAAGTTCTTGCCTGCTGTTTGACTATCCAACTCCTAAAGTCAATAGTTCTAGAATTATGGCCAATTCTCTTGCTCAATTTTTCATCTTACTATAATTAAAACTCTTTTGGGCAGAGTTATGTCAATGGTAATCTTTTTATTTATATATGCATGGGTTCAGCACATGTACTTGACTGGATTATATTTATATTGCCTATCAAGAAGAAAATAGTTATTCCGTTGAACTATATAGGCAGTTTATGGATGTATGTTCACTTTGACATATACTTGAGGGACAAATAGCAGGAGTTTGCAGTTTTTTTTAATAAATCTTGCTTACTCTGAGTCGAATCTATGTGTGCGATCCTCCATCATTTATTGTAGGGAAATAGACAGGTAGTTGATGTTTTCCACATGCTTGAGGGAGAAACACTGTGATATTTGCAATCTTGTAGTTCTTGATAGTCATGATTTTTTTTTTTATAAGAGATGGTCATGATTTTTTGCAGTATAGCTGGATAATATATTTCATAGTTTTGAGTAGATTTGGTTAATTGGTTAAGCATGCAATAAAATTTGAGAATTAGACAACTCGGGTGTTCCATGAGTTTAACTTTATCTACTACCGGCAATCTGGCATAATTCGCAAGTTGTCATATATTGTGCAGCAAATCTGAGAGTAGCTCAAATTTGTAGCGTGGAAGCTCGAAAGGAAATTTTTGAATTTGTTTTGCATGTGCTGAATGTGCTAGCATCTTTTCTTTCTTGCCTAAAGTGTGACTAAAGCATAGTGGCACTGGTTCGTGAAATCAATCCTCAGTGGTAGTCGAGCACTGTAACTTTCCAACTTTTTAGTTCTGTGTTCTGAAGGAATGTACTGGCTTCAGGTCCTCAATGAGAGTTGCACACTAACTCGTGGAAATTTGTCAAATATTTACACTTGTTGCATTTTAATATAAGGTTGAAGCTGACTCACTTTTTTGAGTTTTGACAAGCATGAGACCTGATAACCACTTAGACCTCCTGTTTGTCATCTACTGTTACTGCTTGTTGAATGACAAATTGTTGAAATGCAACGTGCAGGCCATGATGAAAGACCCCTTTGGTAACTATGTTGTGCAGAAGGTTCTTGAGACCTGTGATGACCAGAGCCGCGAACTAATTCTCTCCCGTATCAAGGTCCACCTGAATACACTGAAGAGGTACACTTATGGGAAACATATTGTTTCTCGTGTTGAAAAGCTCATCACAACTGGAGGTGAGGAAATTTTCATAGATTAACTCTTCTTTGAACCCTTGATGTTGTTACCTTTAACTTACTTCTCGTGAAATTTACTCTCTTTTGCAGAAAGGCATATTCGGTTATCATCCTCGCCCATTTTAGATCGAGAGAAGACACTGTTTGTACAGAAAACATAGATGTTGGCTTTATTTTCTTTGGTCTTGGCGCTCCTAATAGCTGTAAATAAACAGTTTTTAACGAGGCTGCTGGAATAAATTTTGCTTGGCCGGTTTCTCTCTAGGTATGCTCAGCTTGCAACTTGTAATTACACTTTGAAGAGGCAATATTAGGAAATAAAGGTGGGGGGAAGGCAAGATATATATATGCTTAATCTTTGTGGGAGTATTGGCAAGGTTCATAATTTGTAAAGAAATTCTGAGTGAGGTGAAGAGAAACATAGTTCAGTGCGTGTTGGTGGAGTCTAGGACATTGATAAATTAATTTCTATGTAAATATACTGCCATTATTTTGCCAGAAGATGTATTTAGTAAAGGCTTTTTGTTTAGATATTGCTACTTCTATTTTTGTTGTCAAGGTGCAGAACTGCATCGCATTATTGCTACTGTTAGCTATTTATGCCATGGTATTGTGAGCGTGCAATATTGAGAATAATCAAGAAGAAGAAAATCAAGAAAAATAAGAATACAAGATTTATGTGGTTCGGTATAAATTCTACCTCCATCCACAAGAATGTCTTTTCTTTATTTTTGTTTTAGAATCCACGAGGGTTATAACATATTTTATAGCACCAATTAATAACCTAAATTTGGGCTCAACTAAGAAACTTAGTAAATCTTATGCATCAATTCTCGGTAAACTTCCTAGCTCACCCATTTCTGATAAAACTATTCTACTAGACGTACACCGGAAATCATTGACAATTCACTTGTACCCATTCATTGCCTTAGGATATTTCGTGTCACGAGTCATTCACTCTCGCGGGGTATTTTTTGCATCCCCTTGCCTATCATTTGACTCTTACAACCAAACAGTGGCACCGTTGAAATTGACCCCATTGACTTTTGGCGGGGAATACATTCCTATCTAAAAGCAAAATTAAATAGACAATGTTAGTATTAAAGTTAGCAAAGTCTTAGTCAAAATGAATCACTCACAATTCCCAACAATTTCTACCTCGGTGAATAATTCACCACACTAGAAAAGGACCATAATTTGTCTCTTTTGCAAACCCATAGGTTGAGGGTCCTACTGTTTTCAACATTGAGAAACATTAACTAAGTCCAAACAATGCTTAAACCAGTCTGAAGGAATTGATTTTGTCAACATATTAGATGCATTCTCCGAAGCATGCACTTTTTCTAGTATCATCTCCCCAGTAACAATTAACTCTCTTACCTTGTGAAACTTACATTAATATGCTTTGTCCTGACATGATACACTTGATACTTTGTCAAATAAATAGCACTTTGACTATCACAAATGCACCTGAACTTCACCTTGTTTTAGACCAAGCTCTTTAGAACAAAAATCATAGTTCTAGTTCAAAATTCTCTCGATTTATCCTCTCATGAGGAATTGCCAAAAGTGACTCTTCACCCATTCCAATATAAAAGATTAGTCGATCAAATAATAGATAAGTGGGTTAGATTGAAAATAAATGCCAACCTTTTCACCCACAATGCTTCCTTGGTAATCTCAATCACTGACATATATTCTACTTTAGTTATGGATAGAGCCACTAGTGATTGTAACATGGACCTCCAACAAATAGGCCCTCATGCAAGTGTAAACACATTCCATGTAGTAGACCTCCTATTATCCAAATCTCTAGCATAATTGGCAAGTCGGCACCAAAAGTTAGTGAGGAATGGGTTTCTTTTGGACTTAACTCAAGAAGAAAAGTCTTATGTGCTATTTCAAGTTAGTGAAGTACTTCATGGTATTAGAGCACGGCCGTAAAAGAACCTTTTTCATAATTGGCATCTACATATGCTACAACTGAAACAGAACCCTCCTGTTTTGCAAACACAATATCTCGGTTTGTTTACCTTTTAAGTATCTAAAAATTCACTTGACTGTCTTCCAATACTCTCTACCTAGATTAGCTATGTACTTGCTCACAGTGCTCACAACATGTGCGATTAACCATCAAAATTATTATTTTATTATATTTAATGATTGGTTAATTGTATATTATTTGTGATTAAATGTGTTAAATTTCTTGATTTTTTAGTTTGATACTTTTTCTATTGTTTGGTTTATTTTGCAGATAAATTGGTTAATTTAAAGTAATAATGGATAAGACAAGTGAATCAATCACTAGAGGAAGAATCATAATTAATAAGGATTGAAGAGTCAGAATTGAAATAGGAAGACTTGAAGATATAACAACAATTTAATCCTTATAAGAGTCCAAGTTGAAAGAAAACTCATTTAGAGTTGGATTAGGAAAGTATCCTAGAAGATAAAGATTTGACACGTTTTCAGTATTTTGGTTATAACTTTTGACTCTGATATTCGATTTATTTGATTTTTGGGGGTTGGAAAGAAGACTTCAAGGTCTACAAAAGTGTTTTTCAAAAAATATTTGTGATTCAACCTCTAAATATGTAAAATTAAAGCTTGAAGTATGGATAGATTTTGTACCCGCGCCCCAAAGATTTTATGTACGGGATTTAACTTTACAAGACTTCTTTTTGGGAAAGGAATTCCTTCCAAGACAACCTTATATCTTCTACCTATACTTATGATTTATTTTTAGTACAAATAGGGGTTCTCATTTAGAAATTATTATTATTCTTTTTCTCATCTTTTTATTTTTTATTTTAGTTCATCATGTCTAGTTGGAAGGCTAAGCTAGTGTTAGGGGGAACCTCTCAATGAAGTACGATAATGTTATTGATTCTGAGTTTAATGATTTATGATGTTTTGTTAATTTAACTTCTAATCTGTTAACAAAATTTTTACTCTGTAAAAACCTTTGAGTCATTGTGTCATGTACATCGATTGTTTGAATTTCCCTATGAGTAAATAACTGGTGATTCCACGCTTGAGGTAATTATCATTATTTCATAAAATAATATAATTAGATAATTATTCAGGTTCCTGAATAATCTTTTAATTATAACTTTTGATTTTTTTTACTTGATTTGTTACTCGATTCAACCGACATCTGATTCTTGTCTCAAGTTAAGATTTGTGTCTTTAATCATTATTGTATGGAAATTGAGAGGATGTACCTAATGCTCTAGTATTTTTCATATTACTGTTTTAATTATTTAAATCAATTTTTTTCCCACTCAATAATTTCCTAAACAAATTATTTATTTTTAAGTTTGTTTTAGTATTTGTGTGATTGCTTTCTTGTTACAATGCCTTGAGAGTTTGACCTCGGTCTTCTGAGAAATATATTACTTCGCTTAACTTGCGTTTGAGTTTACAATATTAAAGTTGAAGCAAGTTTTTGGCACCATTGCCGAGGAATTGGAGGACAAGGAGCCGTCACATCTTTGAGGTTTTCGATATTTGCGATTTTTCGGAGATCCAGTAACTTCGTTCTATTTTTTTTAATTATTTTATTCATTCTATTGCAATTTGTTTCTTTAGGCCCCTTTTGGTAATGTTTTTCGTTTTTCATTTTTCAAAAATGAAAAAAGAAAACCAAAAACATCTTTTTTTGGTTTTTGAAAATCGACCCTCGTTTACAAAATGGTGGCAGAAACGAAAAACAAAATCGGTTACCAAACGAGTTTTTTTTTCTTATTTTCTCTAAATATCAAAATAAAAATGAAAAACGAAAAACGAAAAACAAAAGCGTTACCAAACGGGGCCTTAGTTAGTTAATTTAGATTTTTGATCTATTTAGTTGTTTTTATTTGTTTATGAGTTTTTGGCATCGTGACTTGAGTGGTCGTTTAATAAGAGAAGATTTAGATATTTTGTTTGAAAATCTATTTGGTTCATCTGATTCAAATCATTCTCTTCATACAATGGCTGCTAATCCTAATAATAATAGGCAAGATGATCTTCTTGAACATAGGACCATATTGATAGAGTAAGTAATCATGATGAGAACGATGTGGATAGTTTAAATGCTAATCAGAGTAGGACTTTGCCTGAATTTCCACAGCCTGCACGTCATACTGCACCCTCATACATTATCTTTCCATTAAATGCCACAAATTTTGTTTTCAAACTTGGCATGATTACATTACTCCCAAAATTTCTTGGCTTAGATTCAAAAAATCTATATTTACACATTAGAAAATTTGAGGATGTATGCGCTACATTCCATGATCAGAATGTCTTAGTGAATACAATCAGATTAAAGTTGTTTCCTTTTTCATTAAAGGAAAAAGTTAAGACTTGGTTATATTCACTTATATCTAGGACCATAGGTAGATGACCTGAGATGCAAAAATAATTTATGAATAAGTTTTTTCTCACACATCACACAAACTCTTTAAAAAGACAAATAATGAATTTTTCTCAAAAAGAGTCTGAAAATTTCTATCAAAGTTGGGAAAGATTTAAAGACCTTGCATCTTATCCACATCACGGTTATGAGAGCTGGCGCGTGATAATTTTCTTTTATGAGGGTTTGAGCCCACAGTTGGGTCAATTTGTTGAGGTGATGTGCAATGGTGATTTTATGAATAAGGAACCAGACGAGGTCTTTGACTACTTAGATCAATTAGCTGAAAGTGCACAATCTTGGGATACCACATCCTAAGAACCTCCTCAAGTTAAAATTGCACAATCATCATCATCTAGTGGAGTAAATATCAACTGAGAGAAGAAGATGACCTAGGGGCTAGAATTACCACCTTAGCTAGGAGGGTAGAAGCCACAGAGTTTAAAGTAGTTAATGAAGTGAGTCTAGTGCCTGTTGAGGAGGTGTATAGTATTTGTGAGATCCCTGGACATCCTATGAAGGAATGTCCAACATTACCTGTTTTAAAAGAAGTCTTGCATGATCAAGCAAATGCTGCAAACACTTTTTCAAAACCTTACAATAATCCTTATTCAAACACATACA